GTTTGAGGTAGGCAAGCAGGTATGAATGGTGGATAGAAAGTATTTTGAGCTACATGGAATAAATAATATAATTTGAGAATCACTTTAGCATCAGCAAGGATGCATCAGCCCTATTGCAAAACCATCAACAAATCAGGTATCATATGAATATGGATGAAATAAAAAATAAGTACTTACTGTTTACAAACGTATCTGTGATTCAATGAATAACTACTTTTCCTTCGATTTTTCCATAAGTACCACCAGCACTACAATCAGAATCGATCACTATCCACTTGAAAGTTGTTGCAGAGACTCGTCGATTTCAAAGGTTTGACGATCGAATTCAAAACACATACACATTATTCTACGCCTATGGCAAGTTGCGAATAGTCGAACAGTACCTGAGCTCCTGAAATTTATCAATTTTCAAAGATTCTTAGCGTTAAAATTCTTTAAATTAAAGTCAGAACTAGTGCAAAAGTGGTGGTAAATTGAAATTCACACATAAACATGGTTATTACGCGAGAAGTGAAAGAAGAAATAGAAAATACAGTGAATCAAGCTGTGAGCAAAAGCCTACAAAACAAAGACCTGATAAGAACTATCACTGGTAAAGTCGTTAATGCTGTGGTAAAAACGCTCGAGATACGGCTCGTGAAGATAGAAGAATCAGTGGCGTCTCTAAAATCAGAATTAACGAAAAACCAGCTTGAAAATGAAAATAAACTGAAACTTCTTGAAGCTACCATAGATAATATGAACCAAAAAAATGAAGAAATCTGCGAAAAATTCGACCGTATTGATCAGGCAACCCGCAAAAAAGCTCTTAGAATCTTCAATGTAACTGAAAATACCAAAGAAGATACCAGGAATGAAATAATCCATATCATCAACGCGAAACTAGCAATGAATCTAACACCGGAGGATATTACGCTGTGTTATAGAGTGGGTAGCAAAAAAAAATGATAAACCCAGAGGAATATATCTTAAACTCAAGTCAATAGAGATGAAACAAGATATATAAGCAAAGAAGAAGATGCTCAAGGGAACCAGCATAGTCATCAAAGAAGACTTAACTAGCACGAGGGTGGATATAGTCAACCAGTTAACGGAAAAAATTGGATTTAGAAATGTCTGGACCAATGACGGTAAAATCTATACTTCATATAATGGAAGACTACACATCATTAAGAATAGGACAGATTTCCAAAAATTTATAAATAATCAATGAGAAAAAAAAACTGGAATTTCCTACCTAATTTTACTTGTTTTTATCAGTGAAATTGTTATAAATAAAATATTTTTTTGTCACTAATGTAGATAATTTACCTTGATTTATTTCAAAGTACACATTGATGAAGCTGAATCTAAAATTAATGTTAACTGCTAATTTAAGAACCCCAGGCAGAATCAGGTATAATATTCAACTATTGATGCTAGATTTTCTAGAAACTTTGGATGATCAACAGGAAATTGAAACAATAGAATTAAACAACTTTCAAGAATATATAGATAGTGGAGTGAGAAGCAAGTTTGAGAATGGGATTGGGCTAATTCATTTTAATATACGCAGTCTACAAAAACATTTTGACGAATTGTTAATATATTTAGAAACAGGTAAAGACATCTTGGATATTATAATTTTATCAGAAACAAGAAAAATAGACATTAGTAATTTTCAAATACCAAACTATACAGCTTACTACAATAACTCCAGTATAAATAAATGCGATGGAACAGTAATTTATATAAATAATAGCATTGGGCGTTATACTACTAGGTTGATACAATTGACATAAATGACATTAAATTTTTGCGAGTGAGTTTTAGTACCAAACATTCAGTTTACAATAACAAGATAGGATTAACAGCATATTATAGACCTCCTTCAACAATCACTCAAGACTACTTAGATAATCTGGAAATATACTTACAGCAACTTGAAAATCAAGACTCAGAAATATATTCAGGAGATATCAACATAAACATTCTACAAACGGAATTGAACGAAACAACTAAATATTTGAATATACTGAATTTATATGGTTTCATTTCACATATAAATAAACCTACAAGGGTAACTTCTACATCTAAAACAGCTATAGATCACATTTTCATAAGGAATTCGAAAATAATAAGAAACCATATTGAAATAGACCCAATAATTTTCCAGACTGATATCACTGATCATTTTGCACCATTCGTGTATCTTTCAGAAAGCATTCAAATTTAATTAAAGAAAGAAATGAAGTTACATATAAAAGAATTAATTATCAAAAACTCAATAATTTACTTGGTGATGAGGAATGGAATAACGTAATAGAAATAAATAACGTGCAAAATTTATATGATAGATTTATTGGAACACTGAATAAATATATTAGCGAATGTACTGAAACAAAAAAAAATAAACAATAAAACTAGACAGTTAAAACCCTGGATAACTTCTGCTTTGATATCATCAATCCACAAAAGAGACACAATGAAAAAAAAAATTATAAAAAATAATAATCCGGAACTTGAAGAATGTTACAAAAAATACAGAAATAAACTTCATGCATTAATTAAAAAAACTAAGAACGACTTCTATAAAGACAAAATTAATGATGCCAATGGAAACTGTAAAAAATATGGAATATTATCAAGGATATCACAGGAAATAAAACCACTTCACAAATATCCAGCACAGACATTTCAAATGAAAATGGCATTCTGATACAAAATGATTCAGAAAAAGCGAATTTATTCAATAATTTCTTTACGGAACTGGGAATCAAAATGGCACGTGACATAGAAAAAACTAGTCTTCCCAATGATTCTCTAAACGAATCAAGAATAAATTCATCAATCTTTCTGGAACCTGTTAGTGAAACAGAAATAATCCTCTTGTTATCAAAATTGAAAAATAATTGCTCTGCAGGGCCCGACGGAATTGGTACCAAACTCATAAAACATATCCACATACATTTACTTAAACCTCTAACTCACATATTAAATACCAGTTTCTCAACTGCGAAAATACCAATACAGTCGAAAGAGTCAATTGTCACCCCGTTAGGCGTTATGATTGATCAGCATACTAGGTGGAATGATCATATCACCTATCTTGTCAAACGTATAAGGAAACTGATGAATAAATTCTACAACTTGTGAGATATCTTATCGCGAAAAAATCTGATGAAGCTGTATAATTCACTAATCGAATCAACATTAAGGTACCGCATTACCATCTGGGGAGGCACCTTCACAACGACCTTACAAAATCTACAAACCACCCAAAACACTCTTTTAAAAATCATACTTCACAAAAACAGACGATTTTCAACTCAACTTCTTTACAAAGAAACCCAATTATTCACAGTCAGACAAATATACACTTACCAATGCCTTCTCCGAGTTTATCATAGAAGGGACTCATTCCAAAGGAAAAATTCGAACACCAGAGCCGCAACTAATTGGAATGTGCATATTGATTTCTTCGATAAAACCTTGACGCAGAAATCATTTCACTATTATGGACCAAAACTATATAACTTACTACCATTACATATCAAACAAATTACTAAAACGTATAAATTCAAAACTGAAATAAAAAAAAATATTCTGGAAAACTTCAAAAAGTACGAAATTTTCAAGTCATGAAAATCCTCAAATACATCCACTCTCAAAAATCTTTTAAATCTTCCCCTAACCCCGAAAAAAAAAGGAAAATTATTTTTTCGAAATAGCCCTATATTCTCATCTTGACCATCTCACTCCACCCCTAGTATCATCATTGTTAGCTTCATATAGCTTTGAGTTAATTTTGTTGTTTATTTTTTTTATAGTGGTATTAAGTTTTTTTTTCTGGCTTCTTAGGAGGAGGATAGTCGACAATACAGGCACTAGTGCCTAGGTCACTTCACTTCTTACGAAGCCTCAAAATCAAAACATATTATGTAATATAAAATATATTCACACATGTATATATTATTATTATATCATTATTTATAATAATCTCAAACAAAAATAAATTGTTATACACTACGCATATTGTCATGGAATAGAATAAATTGATTTGATTTGATTCCGTACTATCTTATTGGGCATTTCAGTCCATATTTTCATAAAAAAACACATAAACATTGTTTTTTTCGAGGTTTTTGAATACTATAATTCGCAGCCTTCATCGTACTATACGTAGAATAATGATTGATCCCATATTTCGCCATCAATGTGCCAAAGTGGTTGTTATAGAATTCTTTACCGAGGTCACTCTGCATATTTCTTGGAGAGTATTCAGCCCTTTCCAATACTCTCTCCATAGCATGTGTCACTTCTGATCCGGTTTTATATTTTATCAGCTCTGTCCAGATATATTTACAATAGCAATAAATGGTGAATAATATGTAACGATAACCACTATTCTCTTCAGAATACGTTTGCATCTCAGCTAAATCTACTTGCCACAAGTCTGCGAAACCTTTTATTATAGTTCTCCTTCTATGAAAGTTCCGTCTGGCAGGTTTATGCAGTTCATAAACTATTTGCCTTCTGGTCGCACTTATCTCCATTACAGCTTTATTAAAACCTATTGAAACACTCCTGAATGCTTGTGATCTCCTTGAATAACGTTGATATACTAATAGGCCAGCATACATCATATCCCTCTTATGCGCTGGAGACAAATTAAAATTAAGGCGGGCGGTAGACTGACGAACTTCATAAAGTGTGCTTCATGAAGAGAGTTTTCTAACACATGCTTCCATATGGGTTGACTCAGACTGCGACAAGGTCTTTCGATTGTCATCGATCGTGCGCAATCGTTTTTGTTAGAAATATCTGACTGGTTTGAAATTACTATGAAGTGAAATCTAAAAACTCATCTGGACATTGTGTTCTATGAGCTGATAGTGTCTATGAATTAAAAAATATGGTTCCGTGGTACATCTGTTTTTATTTTGATGAATGAATAAAAGGGATGAGAGCTCAGATGAGAGTGTTGTGCATTCCCACAAGTTTTGGCAAACAATTCAATAATGAGTGATACTGAAAAATGGACGGTAGACGATATAGAAATTTTAATTATGGAAGTTCGATCGAGACCAGAAATTTATAATCAGACTCTTCCAGGTTACGCTAATGGAGATAGGATTGAGAAACTCTGGAATGGAGTGGCTAGGCATCTGGGAGGAAAATCTAAAACTGGTTGGTATCAATATCAATGAACAATTATTTCTTCCCCAAATAGGAATATCTGGCTAATTACCTTTTATTGTCGGGAAACAGTGCAGTAAGAAGTGGCAAATACTTCGAGGAACATATCGTACAAAAAAACATGAATATACTCCTTCAGGATCATCCCAGAAGAATTCGAAAAAATGGGTTTATTTTGATATGCTTAGTTTTCTGGACCCTTATATTTCAGAAAGAAAAACATGTTCAAATTATTCCAGTTCAATAGAAAAAAGTCAAGATAGTGATGTAGACCATGGTGATCATCCTTCTGACTACAATATAGAAGATACAGAAGATGCTAATATTCTAATAATAGAGGAATCTACAACAAATGATTTGAGCTTTACAAATGACACTTGTGAAGATTCATTTTCAGCCACACTGAAGAGAAAATCTCCAACACCTACTACTTCAGCTACTACATATACAAATACTAATCCTAAGAAGTCCCGAAAACAGGGCAATGAAGTAAATGATATCATTGCAAAGTATTTTACATCAAAAATTGAAAATGTACCAAAGCATAAGGAAGAATAATTCATGGAATTATTTTTGAAAAGTGTGGGAAAAGACGTAGGAGAGTTAAGTCCATCTGACCAGCTGGACTTCAAATTATATATAATGGAATGGATGAAAAATCATATTTAGTGAAACATGTTATTAGTTTAGAAGATCCTTTATTATGAAAAAATAGAAGTCTTCAATTAAAGTATTTTTGTATTTGAGAATCTACATTTTTTAATTATCATTCAGGTAAACTAGTCATCATCATCTGATTCATTATCAAGTAGTCCATATCTCTGCAGTATCTTCTCATTTTGATCAATGCCCAGATAGCACGGGACGTCCCGAAGACGTCCATTTTATGTCCATTTTTGGTCTGAACGTCCAGGACCTTTTATGGACGTTTTTAAGACGTCCATTATTGGACATACTCCGGACGTCCAGAAAAAGACGTCTTTAAAACGTCCAATTTACAGACTCTCACGGTATATCAGTTTAAATTGATATAAGTAGGTAGGTATATATTAATTTTGAAATTAGAATTATTGAATTGAATATGGACATGAATAATGTCAAAAAATATATTATATATCAGCTGTATCAATATATTGAATTTCATTTTATTATTAATATTATGAATTTGAAATATTTATGATTTTAACTGATTTGTACCAACTTATATAGTTATGTTGAATCATATTCCTTCAATCACATAATACCTATACAGTTTGACCATTCTTAAACCCACACTGAAGTATTCATATTGAATCACTGAATATGTAAAGCAACCGTAGAACGCATGCGTGCTCAGCGTTGCCAGACTTACTATTTTAGCAGTAGATCTACTGTTTTTGTCTCCGTTCTACTGTTCAACTATTCAAGGCAATGGTCTGATTGGTCAAGTTTTGATATGACGTAACTATCCAATATGCAACATTGAAAAATTAATGGGACATCACAGTAAGAAGATGTATGATAAAAATATACTGCAACTATCATATTCAGTCTGATTAGTGAAAATTAGCTTTTATTTCCAATCTGGTTGCGGTTTTCACAAATTTTATTTTTTATTTCATTATTTTTTGTTATTCTTCGTTCGATTTTTGATAGGTATAGAGACCGAACATGATTTTTTTTTTCGTTTATTATATAGGTGACTATGTTTTTTCATTTATGATAGCAATTGTGATGATTATCAAAATCTTCTGTTCAGTTTTGATGATCTACTGTTTTTTCCCCACCCATCTACTGCTCCGACAAATTTTCATCCGGCAACACTGTGCGTGTTACGTGTGAAACTGTGAAACGAAAACGTAGGAAGATGGCGTCCGTCAGTTGACCACTGCCGAGTGCCGATTAAACTGTGATTCAGGTCCAACGACATTCTGAACTTTTCGGGTTATTAGACTGAAAAAGCAGTGAATAAGTGAAATCTTTGCGGATATCATCTATCAACTGGTGAACTTCGATCTCGAGTTCCATCGAGATGTTTATTTGAAGGCAAGTATGGCTATCGACGCTATCGTTTTATTTTCATTCGCATGAAGATGCTTGAGTAAGAATATCAATTCTGTAGTTGAAAACATTAGATACTTACCTTTCTAAATAATTTGATCTCATGCAAAGCTCTACCTAATCCTATTTCCATCATGTACCAAAGTTTATATTTTTGTATATAGTTAAAACATAATATAATTCGTGCAAGGTTCATAGATGTTATATAGGTACCTACCTAAGAATCAGTTTATGTATGGAATAAGTTCTTAATGAAATAAAAATAATGAAGTATTCCGCTATACTGACTACTACACGTTGAAAGTGGGTCTGTGTTTATGGTTTATGGTATTCACAGAAGATGTTATTGAATATTATTATTATTTACAGATCCAGTGAAGAAGACAACAGAAGGCTGCCAATCAGAAAAAGACATCATCGCGCCTGCGTACCTGGATGAATCACGCGACGTTTTTAGTGGTGCAGCTGCTGATATACGATATGGAAGAGTGAAATTGAAACAACTACCTGAATCTCTGTTCATATTATTGTTTGCGAATAAATGTTAACTAATATTCGAGTATTTCACTCTTCAGATGGGTCAGAAAATCAATAATCAATATTGTCTGAATGTCCTCAATACGTCCATTTTTCATCCCAAAAAGGTCCTAGTCTGGACCTAAACTGGACGTCCCCAAAACATCCTGATTATTAACAATGGACGTCCTCAAAACGTCCATAAGACGTCCGTCGTCCGGAAATGGACGTCCCCAAAACGTCCTGAATGTCCAGAGTGGACGTTTTTAAAACGTCCATAAGACATACTTGTGCTGATTGGGTGATTGCACCAACTCCATTGAAATATTGTAGGAACTTATCTCTGATAGTACGAGCTTCTCTAGTTGATTTTCGAACATTATTTCCCATAGGAAGTCCATCAAATGCATTCATCTGATGAAATACTGGAGTGTTGAGTGTTTCTTGAAAAAGTATTTCTCCATCTCCATCTTTCACCATGTTATGTGAAATACAAGCAGCTTTAATTACTAAGTCCACAGTATCTGGGATAATCTCTAAAGGCATGTCAAAAATTCTGAATTTTGATGTTAGGGCTCCAAAAGTGCATTCCACTATTTGTCTTGCAGATGAAAGACGATAATTGAAAATTCGTTTTTCATCTGTCAACTGCCTACGTGGATATAGCTTCATGAAATTTCTTGTTAAACGAAAAGCTTCATCTCCTATGAATACATATGGCATTAGGTCATCACCTTGAATTATGGGTTTTTCTGGTGGCAAATTCAATTTGTCACCATGCAAATCTTTTCCAAATTGGGAATGTTCTAAAATTCCACCATCACTGTTTCTACCATATGACCCAACATCTATCATGAGAAACTTATAATCAGCACTTACCAATGCTAATAGAACTATTGAATGATATAACTTATAATTGTAGAACAGACTTCCAGATTTTCCTGGTTTTCTTATTCTGACATGCTTGCCATCCAAGGCACCCAAACAGTTGGGAAAGTGTTTCCTACACTCAAATTCGTTAGCAACTTGGGGCCACTCATTTTTAGACTGAGGAAATCTGTTCTCTGTGTAGAGCTTTATATATCAAATGCAGAGTATCCTTCATTATGATACCAATTTCATTAGCTGAAATACAGAAATGATGAAATGAAGCAGAAAATGATTCACCAGCAGCAAGGAATCTGGAAAAAAAACATTAGTAGGTAGCAATAACTCAACTTTTCATTTATATACCCAACCTTAGAGTAACAGTTATACGTTCCTCAAATGAAATTGTTTTCCGAAAATTAGTACTTCCCACACTTCATGATATATGACATAATTCATTTTATTTTTCTATTTTTCATAAAAATAAAAGTATGGTTATAGTGAATTTTCTCGTGAATTTTGGTCATGGCACGTCACGGTACTCGAAACAAAAGACGAAATGCACGAAACGTGAGTGTTGATCAGACGAAGGCAAGGTGGCAAGTCGTTGCAGTCTGACGTGGTATTGAAATATCGAACGGTGACACTTCATGCGACGTGACACGACGGCAAATGATTGATGCAGTCTGCCGCCCGCCGAATGCACAATGCCTTCTTCACGTAATTCCTCAATTATTGACATTATTTCATTATCGTGCCCAGTGTGACCGGCTCATTTTGACCTCCACAATAGCCGAAGGCGTCCTACTAATTCTGTAGCTTTATTCCAATAGACGTACTCTTTGCGGCGTTCACTAACACTTTTTCTGGATGGTATCGATTGTAATATTCCTCCACCACCTTTGACTTTTTGCTGCTGACTGGTCATCAACCAATTAATGGTTTGATAATTTGCTGATATTTCGTTTTCGATTTAGTACTCATATTCAACCCTTCTCGTACATCGAAATTCTTATATGGCGCTTTTGTATTCTTCAGCAGGGCTGTGTATACGCTCTTATCTCGATCATTGATCGATCTCGGTACGTGTTTCATGAATATAAGATTATATAGTTCAGACGTTGCTGGAAAAATTTTGCTTCTCTTATTGCTGTACAATAACTCAATTTGTCCGGGAGAAAAACGAATCTCCATGGCACATATCATCGTGTTTTTCGTGGTGAGATAGATACGAACGCCATATGTGGTGTCATAATTGGGGCATTAGACTTCAAGTTATCTAAATGTTTTCTCAATTGTCCATCTAGTTCGTTCGCTTCTGCCCTATCAGCGGGTATCATAGTATCGATTGAAATGTGTGAAGGAGATGATGTTAGTGGTGTATCCATCATTGTTCTATATTCGGGTTCTTCATCTTCTGTATGTATGCTTGAATAATCATCAGTGAAACTACGTGATTTTACGGATTGTCTGGGTGTTTTCGTAGCACCTGGAGACGCATTGCCCGACATCGGTGTGGAATAATATGTGGGTTGTGCCATTATTGTCTTTAACTGTTTGTTAATATTCTTCGTAGTAGCTGTTGTATTTGGAGTTGCTGCTGCTGCTGCTGAGATAACATTCAACGGTTTCATGAGTGGTTCATACACCTTTTCGAGCGCCAATTGATTACCCATACGGTGATTTTTCAGGCTTTCGAACTTTTTTTCACTGCTTTGGTTGCTCTGATGAGTTCACGTTTGAGGTGAATTTCTGAATTCATTTCAGAAATTTTCTCATGAGATGTGCTCATAGTCACATCTAATGGTTGAATGAATCACGCGGTGCTTAGATTTCACGAATATATGAAGTTATCGAATCCTTCTCTGTTAGCAGCCCTCTTGTACTTCACTATCCTTATCGATGAAATGAAATGAAATGAAAGGGGGTTCACCATCGGCTGGAAAAGTCCTCAAGATAGACCTATGTAACATCCGAGGTCTAAGTAAGAACATCAACGATGTCCATTGACACCTTCAAACTGAAAAGCTAGACATATTGGCTCTCACTGAGAGACAGGTCAATCCATCCACCAATACGACCTATCTGCTCTGTCCTGGGTACGAACTCCACACACGTTTCAGATTGAAGGGAGG